ATAACAGACTCAGATTTTAAAAAATATGAAGAAAACTACCTTGTCAGCTGGAATGATTGGACAACTAGAGAAATATGCATGATGAACATAAAATCAACTTGTAAGTACAAAAAAAATACTGGATCAGAACAGATAACAACAAAATTGTAGCCTGTTGTGTGAACAGAGGTCATTTTAGTTTAATAGTCAGCTGTGTCACTCACTGTGGACTGAGTCATTCAACACAATATAGGGTTGCTCCTAGGAGCAAGAGGAAGGAAGTCACTGCTCTCAAGAGCTGACAGTGCAGCAGGGAAAGAGACATGAGGCAATCATGACAAAAATCTGATGGCACCTGAGGTTGGGAGTTCCAAACAAGCCTGACCAACATGGTGAAACCCTGTCTCTACTAAAATACAAAAAGCTGGGCATGGTGGTGCCTGCCTGTAATCCCAGCTACTCAGGAGGATTGAGACAGGAGAATCACTTGAACCTGGGAGCCGGAGGATGCAGTGAGCCAAGATTGTGCCATTACACTCCACATGGGCAGCAAGAGCAAAACTCCATCTCAAAAAAAAGTTGGGAGGCCGAGGCAGGTAGATCATGAGGTCAAGAGATTGAGACCATCCTGGTCAACATGGTGAACTCCGTCTCTACTAAAATAAAAAAATTAGCTGGCATGGTGGTGCATGCCTGTAGTCCCAGCCCCTCAGGAGGCTGAGGCAGGAGAATTGCTTGAACCCAGGAGGCAGAGGTTGCAGTGAGCTGAGATCGTGCCTTTGCACTCCAGCCTGGGTAACAAGAGTGTAACTCTGTCTCAAAAAAAAAAAGGAATCGTTGGATGCTTTTAGATAAGTCTAAATAAGCACCTCAGTAAATGGGAGAGAAAGCAAGTAACTTTTTATAGGGTTATGAGAGAAAGGGTGGGATGGAAAGGAGCTGTTGGCAGAGAACTAAGTTTATAATATCTAGGAGGCAGAACCACTAAGTAAACATTCAGTTGTATAATAAAGCTCCCCCCTGTCTGGGACAGCTAACATTA